TTTTTATTTCAATTTTTAATTTTTTTCGTCGCGCTGTGATGACGTCAAATGCGCGCTTTTGTGGACCGCGGTTTTGACGGGTCACGTTCACAAACAGCATGCATGTGACCCTAGTTAAATGTCTATCACAACTGAAATTGTGTTCCTCCATTGATTTACCATTGAGTGCTTTTAGGATAGTGGCTCATCTTCTTTCTTCTGAATTACTCAAAAATGAAGGTTCATTTCAAGTCCTGTTGACCACAAAGAAACATCTATGTGGTTACTCTAATTATGGTTCAGAACTAGCTTGCATTGCCTTCTTTCAGGATGTTTTTTGATTTTCCACCCTGGAATTCCCTAGTGGTTCCCAATCTAAGCACTAATCATGTTATATTGACAGTCATCACCTAAAACTGTGTTCTTAGGACTTCAACTATAATTTAAGGCCAATATTGGCAAAAGTTATGTATTCTGGGAGGTGAAGCCCAACACATACTGAAGAACCCATATTTAGAATCTAACTCAAACATAACATGCATTATATTGGTGATCACCTTTAAAGCCTTTCATGGCATAAATTCAGGTTACTCAAGGGACTGTCTCACCCCACTGGGATTGGCCCATCCCACTCATGCTGAAGCAGCAGCATGCTGCGGGTCCTGTCAGCCCGATTATTCTGGCTGTGGGGTCCAGGAGGAGGACTTTCTCTGTTATTGCTCCTGCCCTCTGGAACATCTCCCCCCCCCCGAAGAAGTTGGCCCGAATCTTCCTATCTTTTCATAAGGGGGCATAAGGACATGGCTCTGCTAGTTGGCCTGGGGCCCCAATGGAAGAACAGCACAGTGGAATTGATAGATTGAGTAACAACAGATCCCCTCCCCCCCCCATTCCGCCTCTGCCTTCCCCATGTGTCCTTAGATTTTAATGTTTGGTTTTAATGTGTGTCTGTTGTATGTGTATTGTATGTATGTGTATATTATGTCTGAAAGCTGCCCAGAGTTACCTTATGGTAAGATGAGTAGCCAATACATTTTATAAATAAATAATATGACCTAAATAAGGGGGTTGATCCTTAATTTTGTTCTTCAAGGGTTGGGTTGACAATATTTAGGCACTTAAGAGGAAATAAATGACATTGGTAGACGGGAGGCCATATAAATATTCCTATGGTAATAAAAATAATATAAAATTTGTCTAATATAATTTGCTAATTTGCTAAGTGGCAAATTAGGGTAGGCAATCTTTATGTAGGTATCATCAAATATTCATCATGATTATGAAATGGGATATTTTTGACAGTGGGAATAAAATAGTACTTCCACCCCAGCCCTTTTTAAGATTATCAGCCCAGTTTCAAAAGCGTTCTCAAGGATCTGCTTTTAAAGAATATGAATACATTCTTTGTCCTTTAGATGTTTCTATTGTTTGTTTTAAATATTGTCAGGGTTTGTATAAGGAACTTATTTAAAAAATGCCTCAGAATTCAGAGATCTCTGTTATTAATTCAGGATCTTCAAAATCTACACAGTTGTTTGCCTTTTCAGATCACCTCCTTCCTATGCCAACTTCCATTCTTCCTTAGCGTAACAATCTGCCCCAAATATCTCTCTTGTTTGATCTCTTTCTTTCTCAGACCAAGAATTGGACAGTATAGCTGACCATCCATGAATAAAGAAGAAATGAAAAACAAGTGCCGAATGTTTATAA